AGGGGTGATCCCACTTTTCTACTCTCCTTTTACTCTCTTGACCAGACAGAAATCTTTAACATGTTACTGATGATTTCCATTGAGCTGTTGCATCACACTTGGGTAAAACTGTCGTAAATCTGTCTAGGCCTGAGGGACTCTGTCCCACGCGGAGCCACGTCTCAGTCCGTGCTGGGGTTGCAGAACCAGCTCCAGGCCAAATTGTGAAAGGTGGAGAGAGATGGGTCTTGTCCTCACTATCTTGTCCCACCTGACCTTTTGATCTGTCTCCTACATACACTAATGTGCATGTACGTGTGCGAGCGCACACACACACACACATACACACACGCACAGGAACCCTGTTGGGCTGCTTTACCCATGTCAAATCTCTTCTTTCATTTCTTTTTTTATCTTTATTTTTATTAAAAACCAATTAACATATAGTGTATCATGAGTTTCAGATGTAGAGGTCAGTGATTCATCAGTTGCATATAACACCCAGTGCTCATTACACCACGTGCCCTCCTTAATGCCCATCACCCAGTTACCCCTCCCATCGCCCCCTCCCCTCCAGCAACCCTCAGTTTGTTTCCTATGATTAAGAATCTTATGGTTTGCCTCCCTCTCTGATTTCATCTTATTTTATTTTTCCTTCCCTTCCCCTATGTTCATCTGTTTTGCTTCTTCAATTCCATATATGAATGAAATCATATGAGATCTCTCTTTCCCTGACTGACTTATTTCACTTAGCATAATACCCTCTAGTTCATCCACATCATTGCAAATGGTAAGATTTCATTCTTTTTGATGACTGAGTAATATTCCGTCATGTGTATATACCACATCTTCTTTATCCATTCATCTGTCGATGGACATCTGGGCTCTTTCCATAGTTTGGCCATTGTGGACATTGCTGCTATAAACATTGGGGTGCACATGTCCCTTTGAATCACTATGTATCTTTTGGATAAATACCTAACAGTACAATTTCTGGATGGTAGGGTAGTTCTAATTTTAACTTTTTGAGAAACCTCCATACTGTCTTCCAGAGTGGCTGCACCAGCTTGCCTTTCCACCAACAGTGTAGGAGGGTTCCCCTTTCTCCACATCCCCGCCAACATCTGTCGTTTCCTGACTTGTTGATTTTCACCATTCTAACCGGTGCGAGGTGGTGTCTCATTGTGGTTCTGCTCTGTATTTCCTTGTCTTCTGTCATTTCTTCCATATCAGTATTCATTAGAGATTGATACCATCCCACCCCACTGTCTCCCATCCCCTACCCATTAGGGTTTGTGATAGTTCACTAAACAGTCCTCATAGCTAAACACAATACCTATCTTTGAAAATTAATTTTGCTTGAAGATTTTGGAAAAATATATTATGTTTATATAACTAACATAGGAAAGCTCTTTTAGCCATAGTTGTAAATACACGGAAATGTGAGTTGGTGACTAATTAGACATCAAATGATATTCGTAATAAAGAAAAACAAGCAAAAAAGATCTTCACATCATGTTAGATGTTGATTAGCTTACACTGCATATCCCTCCCACCCCCCAGGCCACTCACTGGTCTTATTAAGCTTCCCTGGTAGCCAAAAGGGGACAATAGATTCTCCTATTAAATGGACCTTTGACCTGGCTGCAGCATTCACTCTCTCTAGAATCTGCTCACTTTACTCAAATATCTGAGTAGAACCTCAGGATCCCTAGATTTCCCTCAAGCCATAAAAATGGAAGACATAATTCATCAGAAAGGAGGAGCTCGAGAAGAGAAGGTGTTTGGCTATAATTTACTTGCAGAGATACATCAATATCATATTACAATGGACACAGTATTCAGGTCCACTATAATCCAGAGCTAGAGGAGGTTAGATGCTTGTCAAAGTACTCTGCAACATTCCCACAGTCATTAGCAGTGAGGGACCCTAAGCAAAAGTCTGTGCTGCAGAAATATCCAAAGCAAAAACTTTTCAATATTGCTATCCCAAACCACACCAGAGGGTTTTCATTAGTTTAGAGGATGCTAGAAGTCATCTTTGCATTAGTACACTGGAATTATCACACAGCTATAGGTACAAAACACTGGCAGGCCCAGTGAGCTAACTTTGGAGGAGAAAGCTTAGATTACAATTCAGTTTGGTTCTGATCTCCCTCACTTGCTAGAATATTCCATTGGTTGATCCGGTTGGGCCGGTGGTTCTCAACCAGGATGACTTTGGCCCCCGAGGGACATTTGGCAACATCTAGAGACATTTTTAGTTTTTGTAACCAGGGAGGTGGCTCTGCTGGTGTCTAGTGAGGCAGAGGCCAGGATGCTGCTAACATCCTACAGGACACAGCACCACACCCACGACAAGGAATATCTAGCTCAAAATGTCAGTAGTGCCCAGGTTGTGTTCCTGGCCTTCAGATTATTTGGTTGCACATGCCTTGAGTGAACCTTTAATCCAAGACGTTTGTTGGAAAGCAAAATCATAGAGCAGAGACTTCATTACATTTACAAAATAGGTTAGGTGACTTTTGTGGGGCTTGATAGATAAGAAATATGTTAATGTTCATTGTGACTTTTGAGGTAGGGGGATATGGGTCCCACCCACTTCTACTATCACAGGCTCCAGATAGTACTAAAGGATGTGACATTCGAGAATGGCCAGATTGGCTCAGGCCAGTTCAGAAGGAAACGAGCCAGAAGAGGAAAGGGAGAAGGATAAGGGATAGGGTGTAGGGGGGAAATGTGAGACATTTTCAGACTTTCAAACTACTCTGACTCCTTCCCACTCTGTTGACCAAGCACCCAGATACAGAGAAAATTTCCTGCTTTTTCACGTCGCTCATCTAAATCCCAAATCCCACAATGCCTAGAGATGATGAAATGGGTATTTCTCTGTCTCTCTCCCAACATGAATGCCTACTTTTCCATCACCACCACAACACCTCAAAAGAATAAAGTAATCCTCCTGGAATGATTGAGAACTTCAGGCTCAAAGAAAAGCTAAATGTGATGTCCCATCCACGATGTGCCAGATTCTTAATCAATCAATCAACAGAAATGACAATCAATCATCAACAGAGATGCTCCTAGGTAGTAGGTGTGCTGCTGGATCTGAGAACCTACAGAGAAATAGCAAAATATTTGACCCTCAGTCTGGGACCTTCTGACCATTGTTTGACTATATTTAATTTATAATTTACCAGATCAAAAACTTAGGTTACTCTTGATACTTGAGCTTCTGCTACTTCCAGAGGGAATTCACTGTACAAACAATGTTGTCCTTGGTTAGGAATGGGGCCTCTCCCTCTGAACTAGACCAAGTCTAAGCCAGGCATGGCCCAGAGCACATTTCTTTCTAATAAAATGAAAGAAAACAACGATAGTATTTGGAGTCTGGAGCCTGGAGCTCCCTTCTAAAGTGAAACACTGAGAAATTGTGGAGGGCATGACCTTCTCCAGGCCTAGCTGGGAAGGCAGTGTGGGTTTGCAGGCTGTGAAACCCATGGAGAAAAAGCTGTCTATTTTCAATTTGGTCTTGGGAGACAGGAGTGTAGGCTGGGGGCTGGATAGTGTCTCATCTAATCTGAAAATTAAACAGTAACATTTGTGTGCATTTGGCTCTAAAATATGTTCTTACCCATTATCCCATTTTATTACCCTGCCACCCCGGACATGTTAAAGTGGGGTGTGAGGAGGTGGTTAACTGCTACTTCCCTTTGACAGATTTGGGAACTAAGACCAAGAGCTTATGTGATTTTACTAAAATTGCTCAGCTGGTTAGATGCACCTGGCTGGCATACCTGACTTCCAGACCCATTTTCTATCGGAGCAGGTGGTGCCCGTAAACCAGCCCTCCAGCAGGTACCGATGACCGCGGGCTGGAGAGTCAGTCCCCAAGGGGTGTTGTTTCCACCTGCTATAAACCCTCCTCACACCTTCACATGCAATGGATTCTTCTTAACCCATCCTGTTATTTCCAGAATGGCCAGAAAGTGTGTACTTAAGAAGCTGGTACCCTTAAAGCTGGGGACCACTCAGGCTCCTTGAAACATACTCTGTTATTAAACATCCAGAGCCAGCTCTTTGTGGAGCCTGAACCAACTGGGGATGGGAATCCTAGATTTCCTTTGACTTGATCTGTCTTGGAACTTCCTTGCCCCAGATAGTTTTATCTCCTTAGGAACTGTGGAAAGAAAGTGTGTCTAACTGCTTTAAAACTTTCTTCTACTAGCTCCTGTCAGTTTGTTAACATAATAATTTTATACTGGAATAGTATATAAAATATGCTTTAGACTTAAAAAGATCTGAGGAAGAGCTTTGGACAACTCTTCTACACACACACACACACACACACACACACACACAAAGCTGGACACACAGAAGGTACTGACTAAATATTTATTGAATTTATAAAGATCTATTTTTACAATCAGAGGAGAAGGAAAGCAAATGCCGCAAAGTCCTGCTGTAAGAAGGAATCTTTCCTCTAACACATAAGCCCTTAAAGAGTACTATTGTGTCTGATGAAAAACAAGTTTTTGATTTTAATACAAATGACATGTAGGTTTCATCACATATTTTATTTGCAGTAGAAATGAGAGTTTCTATAACTTAGTTCTTCATTCATTATCAGTTCATTCATTCACATTTATTGAGTTCCCACGATGGGCCAGCCAGGCACGCCTCGAAGCGAACATGGGAAACGCAGGCCTGCCCACCAGGAGCTTACAGTCGATGGGAAAGATAGTTGATTAAACAAGGGATTGAAAATGAAGTGTAATGAGTACTGTCACAGGACACACGAGCTACATTCAGAGCAGGGTAACAGAACCATGTGGGGACGGGGGGAGGGAAGGGAGGGGGGGCAGAAAAAACCAGAATGGTCACACAGGAGGCTGGAGGCTGCGGTCCTTGGAGGCCTGTTCAAAGCAAGGCTGATAAAAACCACCCCAAACTGCGCGGAGGTCCAGAAAGGAAGGTCTGAGTAGAGAAGGTGCTTCTGTGATCTGGCTGATGTCAGGTCACTACTTTGGCTTTTGAGAAAGGATGGAGATGATGCTGAAGGTCAAGAAGATCACGCCGGCCGTGCCTCCGATCAGCAGGCCCAGGATGCTGCCGTGCACTTGCATGGCCTGACAATGCTCCCCCGTGTAGAAGAAAGCATGACTGGAGACACACCTGGGGGGGCAGAACAGAGGAGGGGTGTGGGAGGCACCCGAGCCTCCATTGCTTTGTAGCTACCAGCACCGACAGCCACAGGGGCAGGGGACCCTGACTGAGTGGTCCACATGCCTGACCCCATTCCAAGGGCTTTATATGAGCCCATTCAATCTCCTAACAGCCCCAGGAGGGGGTGGTTATTACTATTCTCATAACCTCATTTTGCAATCCTTTATTTATATCCAGAGAGGTTAAATCATGGGCTCAAGGTCACACGGTTAGTCAGTGTTTCACACTTGAAGTCTAATCCCTGGAGGCCTGTCTCCAGACCAGGTGCCCTTGGCCCCATCCCGTGCGAGGCTCAGGAAGGAAGGTTTGGGGCATTTAAAGAATGCGTGGCCCATGCGGGTTCAGACTGCAAGTTACGAGGGAAATTCTCCAGATAGAGTCTGACCCCAACCATTAGCTGGGGCTCGAGAACTTCCAGACGGTATCCATTACAATGTTGCTGTTAGGTGAGGATCCTACCAGCTATGTCCCAGGCCGCCCCAAAATCTGCAAGATCATGAGCACACTTCTTACTGCTTTGTTTGGGACACAGTCACACAGGGGCTGCCACACCTCGGGTTTGCTTGTTTGTGTTTTAATGTCATCTGGTGGGGAGATCAACTAATCTCAGACCCAAGGCATGGGGAGTGATGTTTCCTCGCTTCTAGGGTAGCAATTCCAGCCTTCATTTCAAACAACATTCTCATCGCAAAGTCTAACCACAGAGCCGAATGTGACAATCAGAAGTCACGGACTCTTTTTACTCATTCTGGAACTATTTTACCTTCCTCATCACTAGCCTAGACATTGGCTTCTTAAAAATCAGTGTGTAATAGGGGCGCTTGGGTGGCTCAGTCAGTTGAGTGCCTGCCTTCGGCTCAGGTCATGATCCCAGGGTCCTGAGATCGAGCCCCGCATCAGGCTCCCTGCTCAGCGGGGAGTCTGCTTCTCCCTCTCCCTCTGGTTCTCCCCCTGCTTGTGCATGTGCTCTCTCTCTTTTTCTGTCAAATAAATAAATAAAATTTTTATAAAAATCAGTGCATAATAGCAAGTTCGTTCAATTTTTCCCTGGCCTAGTCCCTTCCAAATACAGTTTAATGATATTCTCAAGGATTCCCTTAGAGGGGCTTATCCCACAAACTGCAGGTTTGTGGAAGAGGGATGCTTTGGTCGAGCAGAGGGTGATACACAAGTGGGAACCACTGGTCGTCCTGACTCTGAGGGTGAGGCTAGTTGGGGCACATATGGAAATCTGGCATCCAAGGCCCCATCAGCTGAGAGGTGTAGACCAATGGCTGTGGAGCCCTCAAGAAACAAGGAGGTCATTCTCAGATAGAAGGAACCAGCGCTCCTTGGAAAAGTGCTTTATTCCAGGGCTGGGACGGGGGAAGTAAAAGATAAGCTGGGAGGATCCTGTGGTGCCAGAAAGTAAGACTGTGTTCATGAAACAGTGAGTGGGTGCTGAAAGGGTACAGCAGCCAATCTGGGAGAGCTCTCAAAGGCCAAGGCCAGGATGCCATGAGCTACAAAGGCAAGACTGACATTATGCAACTATGGCCCAGAGAAGAAAGTAAATGTTTATGTGCCCTTCATGATATAAAGACATGCATGAATCCATGAATCGGGAGGAGTGGACCATTATTCTTTACATGAGAATTTCACTTACTGAACACGGAGGGAGTGGGGGAGATGGAAAATCACCACTGGACTATTTCAGGGCAACTGTGGCAACAAGTCCACCAAAGGATGATGACACTAGTGGGTGAGGATTCGAGAAAAAGCAGGATGCCTGCATGGCCTCTGAATGTCTCTCCCAAGACATGTATTAACTGCAGAGTGAGGAATGGACACCCCGTGACCCGGTGCTCAAGGTTACCATCACCAGTCTTAACTCCTCGGACATCACGTGCGCCTTGAATGACCCTCCAAGAAAGGCGTACGTACCTCATCTTTGCTCTTCTTGCCAAAAATGTACGCTCTCAGTATAACCATGAGAAAACATGAGACACACCCAAATGGAGGAACAATTTAAAAAATAACTGAGCAGGACTCTTCAAAAGTGTCAAGGTAGTGAAAGAGGAGGGAACACTGAGGGGTTGTCCCAGCGTGAAGGAGGCTAAGGAGACGTGAAACTGAATATAATGAAGGGCCCTGAGTTAGATCCCGGAACAAAAAAAAGGACATTGGTGAAAAAAATGGAGAGATCTGAATGAGGTCTGTAGTTTAGCGAATGCTATTATTAATTGCATTTAGTTGCATTAATGTTCATTTCTTCGCTTTGCTAATTGTGATATGGTTGCGTAAGATGTTAACATTCAGGAATGAGAAGCTCTGCAGTATTTTTGCAAATGTACCTGTAAATCTAAAATCATTTCAACATAAAAGCTTAAAAAAGAAGAAACAAAGTGGAGATTGAAAAGGACTCAGAAGAAATGTAGGTCTTTTGAGCCAAGCAGGCTAGTCCTTACCTCTGCCATTATTCTGCCAAATGAAACTGATGTTTCTGTCATCACGTATATTCTTTTATGAAATATTTTATGCAAACAACAAACATTATAAAAAGAAATATTAAATCTAGCAAACCGTGCAGACAGGCAGACTTGGATGCAAGTCTCAGCTCCAGTATTTGCCGTCGGAGAAATGTTAGACAAATTATTTAGCCTCTCTAAGCTTCAACTTCCTTATGCACCAAATGGGGAGAAGGAGGGTCCTATGTCACAGGGTGGCTGTCAGGAATAATTTAGATCATGCATGTATACTGCTCAGGAGAGCACATGATACATAGTAAGCAGTCAAAAACTATCAGATATTCTTATTACTATTATTGAAAACATAACTATAATCATAGTACAACAGAACAAATAGATGATAGTAATAATAATTGATAATTAACAATACCACTGGCAGTCAGTAAAGATTTAAGCTTGGTCCCCAGTCCCACTGAGGCAGGTCATGCATTTCCTGGGCTAACAGCTCTGGAACATTTGTGAGCGCTGCAGTGGAGTTCAAAATCCCAACAAAGTTCAAGATGTTGTTGACCACGTCCCAGAGGTGGGCAAGGGATGAAAGTCAAGATTTGGGAGATTTGGGGCCCCTCTGCCCCGGCAGGACCCCAGCTATGTCCTGACAGCATAAGCCAGCTGATTCAGAGCACAGCTTTGTGGAATCAAGGACAGCTGTGTCCAGGTGGCCCTCTGAAGTAGTCATCACCCTAACCTGAGAGCGGTGTCTTTTACCAGGTTAAGCAAATGTTTAGCTCACCCCTGCTGACCTGCCCCCTGCCTCCCCCCAGCCACAGAGCCTACCTGCAGCTCGCCATCCCCTTCACGTTCACACAGATGCCTTCATTTTGGCAAGGATTCGGGTCACACGGATCTCTGAAGTACTGTGGCCAGTTGCGGTCTTCCAGAGGGCCTGTGCTCTCTACTGACCGCTTCTGTCGGCTGGGCTGCCCCTGGTCCAGGCTGCTGGGGAGCGCTTTCTCTAACAAGACCTTTCCCGAACCTTCTTCTGAGGCCTGCTGCTCCTGGTCCTGGAGAACAAGGCCTTCGGGAATCAGCCTTGTGTTTTGAGTTGGAACTTCAGTGTGGTTAAGGTAGGTGATATCTTGAGGAAATAGACAAAGGGCAGTGAGGAAGATCTGCAATTAACATCTGACTACAATTAACTTCCACTTCTGGAGTAAGTTCCCTGGTGGACTCCACGTTTAGTGACATGGAAAGGTGGTTTGAATCCAGCTGATTCTCATGCTAGCTATTTTTATTTTCAGAGTAATCCAATCACATTTTTATTTATTATAACTTAAAAAAAGAAGCAAAAAGCTAGCATGGATAGACTGATCAAAACTAAACTGAAGTTAGCAAATGGTCATATCTGATAAATTATCAAAAAAGATGACACCAAAGTTTTAGTTTCTCCCAAGACCCAGTTAAAATAAAGATGTGAGTCCTTGAGCAATAGCTCTCCTAGAGCATATCTTTTTTTATTTTTTTTTAACCTGGTCCTCAAAAAAAAAAAAAAAAATCCCATCCTCCATGAGATGCTCAAAAATCAGTGCAAAATCAGCAGAAGCCCCAGAGCATAGGATTAGTTATTCAGGAAGATCTGCAAACATACCTTCAAAGTCCACAAAAAGTATAAGGTCATCATTTTTAAGGAAACTCTTCCTTCTTAGCATTTGGTGGGAGATGACACTACTCCAGCCCCAGTCAATGCTTCTAAAACAATCACAGTCCTTATCATAGGATCCCATGATGGATGGCCTGTCCCAGATGACGGAGTCATTTATTGCTACAAAGTAATAGGTAACATAACATCACAGTACCTCTCTATACTTCACTCTCCAACCAGTCTTTAATGAGTATATAGAGCTTTGTTAGAAAAAAAAATATGTTGGAAAAAATCAGATTATTTATGCTTTCTAGGAGAATTAAAACTCAGAATTGGGAAGGGGGAGGGGCAGGAACCAGAGCTCTGAATGATCAAATTGTCCATTACTGAGTCATTTCCTCAGTGAAGACGAAGGGACAGTGAGAGCCTCTTCCTTTTAAGGCTTAAGGCTTTTCATGTGAAAAATAAAAAAGTCTGCCCATTTCTTTTTGATACGAGTTTATTTCATTAACATACTGACAGTCACTGATATTTTAGGAGTTAGCGCGTTAGTTCGGCACAGAGGCTAGCAAATTCTGAGTATTTGATAAATGATGGTCAGTATCTGTCTTCTCATTTAGACTGCGTTCAGTGAAGCAGGAACTGCCTGGCTGGCTTATATTCTAGGTACCTGTCACTGAGTTTGGCACAGTGAAAGCCCTTAATAAATGCTGGATAAGTGAATTTGGAAAAGAGAAGGGAGAAAAGATGACATTGAAAATGTGACTTAATATTCCAACATGACCATGTTCCTGATTTACCCAAGGAGGAAATGTGAGAGGAAGATTAATCTCTTGAATACAGATGGGAATCATATCCACCGGCCCTTTCGGGGTGAGCAGCAGATTTTAGAGCACCTACCTGAAGATGTCTGGGACTTGGAGGTAGTGAACACCATGCTTGAGGACATTCTATTCCTGGCATCAGGTTCCTGGTCGAGGATGGTCATTACCACCTGTCTGTTTTCCACTGGCCACTCCAGGATAGCATCATTCTCCCCACTGCACAGGTGAAAAGTAAGTCCCAAGTAGCCAGAGCTACTGGAGCTGAATCTGCCATTTGGGTATAAGGTCAACCCAAAACCATATCCCTCTGAATTGTAGAATCGAGGGCTCAGGAGCTTATTCCCTGGAACCGTGTTCTGAAGGACCTGGGAGAAATTCCGTATGGTCCAAACGCCTGCGGGGCATGGGGTTTCCGTCAGAGTGATATCATCCAGGTAAATTCCCCCATTTGAGTTCTGGGGGTCACCTTTTGTGCCCTGGAACATGTAGCGAAACTTCTTTTCTTCTCTGAGCATCACATGGGCAATTTTCCAATTTTGGTCCAAATCTCCTGGGGACAGAGAAGAAGGTTGGTGACAACTGCGGCCAACATTTATTAAGCATGACCTATGAGCCTGGTAGCACGCCAAGTGCTTTAAAGATTTTATTTGTTTATTTATTTATTTATTTGAGAGAGAAAGAGAGAGAGAGAGAGTGGGAGGAGAAGCAGAAGGAGAAGGACAAGCACCCTCTGTACTGAGTAAGACCCTGAGATCATGCCCTGGGCTGAAATCAAGAGTTGGACACTTAACCGACTGAACCACCCAGGCGCCCTGCATGCCAAGTGCTTTATATGAATTATCTAATTTAACCCTCACAATATCCCTATGAGATAGGTACTGTTATAAGCTGGTTAAGGAACTTTTCCAAAGTCACATACTACAGAGGGAAAATAGCTATAGAAAGATATACTATGATTTATTTTAATATTCATATTCAAATCTTAATCAGAATTTGTTTTCCATTATTATTCAGTTCCATAGGTTCTGTGTTTCCCCCGGGTTTCATGGTATAAATGCACCCCATCCCCTAATGTTTGCACTGAATACCCAAGTAATAGGCTGAACCATAAAAATAGTCATTTTGTAAACTCAAAGTCAAATAATGGTGATTTCATATGGTCCAACCTATGACTTGATGCCAGAGAGATATATGGTGTGCTCTAGAGTGAGTGTTCACATACAGGACTAGTTGGATCTCCCCTATGCAATACTGACTCACCCACTAACATCCAATATTTTCTCTTCATATTATCTGAAGTCCCAACAAGTAGGGAATCCATCCTTTAAAAAAATAATAATAATAATACAAAAAGAGTTACCACTATCCAGATATTCACATTCTAGTGAAAATTAGGTTTACTTGTTTTTTTTCCCGAGACTGAGCTGGAAGTGAGAATTTTAGCTAAAGAGCTGAGATAAGAAGTTGAGAAAGATGTTCTCAAACATGGGGTCCAGTGCTTCACAGCATAAGAAACCAGAAAGGAGCTTGAGGGTCTAGAGAAGGAAACCTCCAGGCCAGAGCAACTCATAGTTCCCTAGAGATCTGCCCCTACTTTCATATTCTGACAGGGTGTATCTTAACACTGGGCTCAGAAAGGAAAAGAAAAATGCTACATTCCAAGTGGGGATCCTGTTGGCTAAAATGAATTCAAACAGATGAGTGTTATTGAAGTTTAGTCTGAAATGCAATTGGCCAGAGGGCTTCAGAAGTATTTTTCCTCTTTCTGTGTGTTATAACCAGAAATCTACATACAGAGTTCCACTCCAGAAAACAGAACATTGTTAGATCTGTCCCTCAAAGTTGTCCTTAAAGAGAATGACTGAGAACAAAGGGAGATCAAGGCACTCTTCAGTCTTGGGAGAGCAGAGCTAGGCCATGTGGTTAGGTTACCTACACATAGGGGAGAAGGGTGAGGAGAGCACATCGACCACATCTATAACCTATGAACTGGTGTAAGTACTGTCTCCTGGGGACGGGACTGCAGTCACGTGGAGGACACATGGATCTGAGATGTAATGGGTGTCAGGATGTCTGGAATAGGGACAGACACACAAGATTTTTACTAATTTGCTCAACAGGGTTAAACCATCTTCATATGGATTGTCACCTTGAGATTGAAATGTGGGAACATGGTACTGGAAGGAAGACCCGAGGTCCATTACCATGTAGGCAGAGACTCTTAGAGGGCACCTAGCTGTCATCCTGTTACAGAACCTGGGCTGGATCACCCAACGGAAGAACCAAGCGGCACTTGGAGATCTTGGAGGATAGGAGATTTATTTAATGCCGGCGGGCTCAGAGGAGAGTGGTCTCCAAAGGTCTGAGGCCTGAGCACAAACAAAGGGGGTAATTTATACACTCTTACTTCCACATACTTGGCACTTTTGGTGCATGCGCGAAGCGGGGCAGGGAGAAGAACCCGGATGATCCCCAGGGCAAGGACTGGGACTCTCTCACTGGCTCAGTCGGCCATCTTAGGACACAGATTTCCCTTATCAATCCCTCCATTTGATAAAGATGCTCTGTACATTTCAGCCAGAAAAGTGAACCCCTCAAAACCATTATCTGTAGTATTCCCAGGCAGCCCATGGAGGCCTGGGTAGAGGTGATTCAGACACCTGTTCTAAGGAGTGACCTCTAAGGAAGCCTCCACGCTTCAAGAGCAGCAGGTTCTCCTAAAAGTACTCAAATGATGCTTCTTCTATCAAGACTCGTCTTAATTGAGAAATTCTTTGTTGAATGGAAAAAGAGGAATGTGTATCTCTCCTTTTCTGGTTATGAATGAACCATCACCACCACAAAAGAATGTAAAAACCTAGCTTTATAACTCTGATCTCGACCTACACCTAGATTACCCTCAAATCCAAGTACCTCCCTTAGTATTTTAAGGTTTTCATGCTGACCCTCTTATAGAAATACATAAAATAACCCTTAGGAATATGTAAATGATGATAATGAAGTTAATACATACACACGTCCTAATTACCTCCAACTTCACAAGTAGGCTTCATGTTAGTTCAGTGTATTAAATAATGGTACTATAGTTTGGCTAATTGAATATAATAACAAATAAATAAATAAATAAATAAATAAATAAATAAATAAATGTATTCATTCGGTTTTTTGAAGCAGGTGAAGAAACGCTTGTCAACTACCAAACCATTCTCTCTAGCAGCACCAGCTCCCGCTTCCCTTTAATTTCCAGCTCTACCCCCAAATCACCCATTTTCTCTGCCCTGGCTGTCTCCAGAGCTGTATTGAGATTTGGATTTCTATGTTCTGATTGCCTCTTACACAAGTATATTTCAGCCTAAATTCTCGATGCAGTTTCTGATTTCTGAGGGCTTAAAATATTCATGGAGGGGTTAAAATGTACCAGATGTTATGCTGGGCTCTTAGAAGAGGAGGAAGGGGGTGGAGGAAAAACGAGGAAGAAGAGGGAGAGGAGGAGGAAGAGGAGAAGAAGAAACAAAGAGAGGGGAGGAAGCGAGCAAAGGAAGGGGAAAGGGAAGGAGAAGACGGAGCAAGATCCCAGACTTAAGCCAAAATCAGGCCCTGCACGAGTGTCTCTAGGTACCTTGGAAGGTCTGCACCTTGACCAGCTTGCGAACATTGCCGGTGCCGTCATCCCTCTTGACCCAGATGACCAGTTGATCTGAAGGGCTTCCTGTCATTTTATAGAAAAACTGCAGGCACTGCTGCTTCCTCTTTGGGTAGAGAATCCGAGACTCCAGCAGGGCTGCCTCTTTTGCCATCCCCGAGCTGGTGCTGAAGTGCATGAAGTAGCCAGCTCCTGTGGGGAGAGCAGCCCAATGATCCATCTCCACCGGTCCATACCCTGGCGTGTCCCGTGCTCCTGCAAAGTTACCCAGGCAACAAAAGCCAGAACTCTTCCGGGAAAAATGAAAAGAAGGTGGTGTGTCTTCTTTCGGTTTCCATGGACAGACTCCCTGGCGAAAGCCCCAGCTCTCCACTGCCTTTGTCCCCAAGTTAGTGAAATGTATTCCTCTGACTTAAGGAGACACGGGCTTCAAGCAAAGTTTGATGAAATTTAGTGTCCTTGAGATGAATACTATTTTCCTCATTGGCTTTCTTGTTTCGAGACCCATTCCAAGGAAAAGAGCTCATCTCCTGGTTGTAGAACAGACTATGGGATTCCAATGTTTAGGGACTGGAATTTAAATATTCACAATGATAAGGGTTCGGTCTCACCCGTTCCTAGCCTGTTATTGGATGTATTATTGGTGGTGAAGAATCATCTTTACTATGTCATAAGAAGGGGCATTCAAGGGGAGCCTGGGTGGCTCAGTCGTTAAGCGTCTGCCTTCGGCTCAGGTCATGATCCCAGGGTCCTGGGATCGAGCCCCGCATCGGGCTCCCTGCTCAGCCGGAAGCCTGCTTCTCCCTCTCCCACTCCCCCTGCTTGTGTTCCCTCTCTCGCTGTCTCTCTCTCTATCAAATAAGTAAATAAGATCTAAAAAGAAAGAAATAAAAAAAGACCACTGAAAAGGAGGGTGAAAAACGTCTAGGTTTGTAACCAAGCTGAGGTTTGCTCAACTCCTGTATCTCAGAACTCTCTCCCCGCAAATTAGCAGGCAGCTAAAGGAATATGTCATTTGGAAAATCAGCACATCACAGTGAAGCACAAAGAAAAATTCTCGCATATAAAGAAGTCCTTTAAACTGTCCTCCAGAATTCAACTTCTTACCAAAGTATCCACTCAAAATATCTCACAAAGTAAAAACAAAATGAGCATCTAGTGCAGTTCTAGGTACATTGGCAATATGGCTCTCTGCTTCATCCTGCCTCATATGTGGGGCATTGTACCTTCCACGATGGCAGCAAGCATAGTGTTTGAATAGGCTTTCTACAAAGCTTTAAAAATATCTAATGGCTTTAATATTATATCAGGAAAATGATATTTTCTTGCATGTTATTCTCAGTACTTGAACTTACTAGCTTGAGCTCTTGGCATTGTGAATTACTGAGTGCTTGGGTTAAATAAAACAAGAGCTCACACGGCTATGATCCTTGCTGAGGAATTCCACCCAGGTGTCCTCACGGGTAGGAAATGAAAGTCTAGTAACCCAGGCTTGGGAGTCGGGAGACCTGAATTCTTGCCCAGGTGCTGCTACTAATTCGAAGGTGTCCATTCATTCTCTCCTGGTTTCAGATGGGAGGTGGCTTCTATCCCGAGGGATCCTTTGTGCTCTTTGAGTCTAAACATCTACCTCAACACCACTGGTGCTCTCTAGCAGAGGGAAAGCACCACCATTAAATGTCTCCTGTGGAAGAAGCATAATGGCTGCTCAAGTTAACCTGGTAAAAATTTTCTAGATATTTCTTCTGGGGTATGGCCTTTTCCTTTCCTATTAAGGTGCTGGAACGCTGTTCTAACATGTTTCCCTCCTAAGACGGTCACTCTTCTGTTCAGCTGGAAATTGTATAGTAGCCTAGCAGCAAGCCCCCAGGAGAGATTTGATGAGATACTGTAAAGGAAGTCTAGAGGGAACTTCAGACTTAGATCACCCTTTGGACACATGAGATTATGTGTTTGATAATATGATGGGTGACAGAGACTTTCACCTTTTGCCAAGGCCGGAGGAAAAGCTGCAATCGTTTGTGACCTCTGACCCCAGTGGCCTGACATCTGGGTGACAAGCTGGGTCCCTTCTATGAAGGAAATCCAACCAATTCACACAGGTAGGGACTGAGGGACTTTGTAACAGTCTAGTCTTTAAAAACTGATGATAATCTATAGGGTTGAGATTATTTCTGAGACAAGCACAACATAAAAGGATGCTAAAATAGAAATTTAAGAAAAAATGGAACCTCTAGACAGAAAGGGAAGATGGGAAAGAAATGGAGAGGGAGGTTGCCGGTCTGCAGCTAGAGGGTCTCCCTGCTTAGCTCCTTCCATCCTCACTGGTAAGTATCAACATCTTGGACCAGTCAGAGAGGCTTACAAAAGTAAAGACTTAAAAAAAGACACCAACAAAAACAGCTATCTGTGGTTAGAATCAGCAAGTGGTGGAGCCAGATTTCAAATACAGGTCTGTCTGATTTTATGGCTTTTTCACTACGCAAACCACGCATAAGAACTATCTGAAGCCGTGCCGTTCAATATGGTGCTACCCAACATACATGACTACTAAGCACCTGCATGGTGGCCAGTCCACACTGAGATGGGCTATAAGGGCAAACTATACACCAGCTTTCAAATACCAAGTATAAAAAGTGTGGAGTAGCTGATTAATAACTTTACTATTAATTACATGTCAAAATGCTAACATTTTGAATATACTGGGTTAAATAAAATGTATTGCTATAAAGAATTTCTCTTGTTTCTTTTTTATGTGGCTCCTAGAAAATTTCACATTGCGTATGTGGCTTGCCTTATGGTTCTATTGGAGGGCACCGCTCTAGAGATGTTACCTTTATTTACAAAATCATGTCTTATCAACTATATGTCTGTATTAGTTTTGTCATCACTTAAATGCATCTTTCTTTTGCATTCCCAGAACCTGCATACTTTTTACTGAGTTAATAATTAAGATATGAGAAGTGTTCTTTGTGTTTGTTTGGCTTTCCAGTGTTTGATAACTAACATTACAATTGAGGCAAAACATGCAGGCTGCCATTCCCTAATTGAACCTGCTGAACCACCTCAGTGTGCTTACTTTCTGCCTTCACTCACCCGTGCATCGTCCCACCAACGTGTGATCCACTTGTCCAGACTGAGTGCTGTCCTCATGGACCCAGTCAGCATCATCCCTGGTACCCTGAATCATCCCACAGATGTTTGCCTTCTCAAAAGCACAGTGGTCCAAAAGTGTGTGAGTTGTGGCTGCAAATGATATTTTTGTCCCCTGGTTAAAAATTTAAATCATCTTATTTCACATACCTAACGTCTTAAGCTAAAAAAGACTTCATTGTTTAGCTAGAGCACATTTTCTTGACTTTTCTCTAATGCAAATCCTGCTGCCACCCATTACATCTTAGAACATCCAACACAGATGTAGCCCTACCCACCTCACAGAGTCAAATGATAAAAAGGTGCTATAAATGTCCACCAAGGAACCCTTTAGGTCGAGAAGGAGGTGCCTAGTAGATCTTTGTAGTTAGTAGATCTTCTGTACATACATACTGAACAGAATTTAAAAATGTGTCCCTGAAGACTAATAGGGTCATTTTAGAAAACATCCTGTCCCTGAACACTAGATGACTCTGGAACAACTAACCTGGGTAAAGAACTTTGCAGGATAAAAGATACTTTCCCTCTCCTGAGTTTTACATAAGGACGCACACTTCAAAAGGAAGCTGAAGAAGTTGGACAATTACAGCTCCTTACATCATCGGTCCAATACTTTTACTTTGTAAAACACAACCACCTAATTAATTTTCATAACCATCCTGTAACAATTTTTGTTACTCTGGAGATAAACTAAGGTTCTGTGGTTTGTCCGGTTTCCTTAACTAGAACAGGACGGAATAGTGCAGGGAAATGTAGGGGAAACTGAAGGGCTGGGGAAAACCCTGTTGAGGTTTGTTTACCTACTTCTCAGACCCAGCAGTACTCACTGCAATTGTACATTCGGTTCAGCTTCTCCAAATCAGTGACACTGAAATCCAGACGCTGCCCAATGATGGTGTTAAACTCAGGGATCTTGGCCGTGATGGTAGGAGCACTGTCATTCTTGTTAAATGAGAAAGGCTTATAGTGCATCAAAGACTCATAGTCATAGGGCGTGTTGAGGTCTGTGATGACAGTGTCATCATAGGTGTCAAAGTTGTGTTTGAAACCTATCAGAAAGAGAATCCACAGGTCCCATTCAGTTATATGATTTCCTCTGTCCTGCCCTTTTTTTTAAAAAAAAGATTTTATTTATTTAAGACAGAGAGAATGAGAGAGACAGAGAGCACATGAGAGGGGGGAGGGTCAGAGGGAGAAGCAGGCTCCCTGCCGAGCAGGGAGCCCGATGCGGGACTCGATCCAGGGACTCCAGGATCATGACCTGAGCCGAAGGCAGTCGCTTAACCAACTGAGCCACCCAGGCGCCCTGTCCTGCCCTTTTTGACTAGATACTTAAGCAGAGACCCAGAGACCAAGAGAAAAGAAAAGAAAAGAAAAAGAACGAACAGTTGATTTAAATATATATACATATTAAACATGTTTTGTAATTAGCATGATGTACATAAAATTAACACATATTATTAATTAATAGTAACAAATAATATTATGATATTAATTATATAACAGTATATACACTTCTAAAAATTAAAAATACATTTAAAAATAAATACAAAAAGACATGCTATAATTAATATATAAATTTTACCTACAAATTATTAAATATATGTATATGTTTAAATCAAAAATTTGTTTTACAAATAAATGAATAAATAAATAAATGTGTGTGTATGTACATGTATAAGTTTTTAAGGAAAACAAGATAAAATATCAAAGTGGAGGTAGGTATTCCAAATGGCAGGAAAAGGAATTTTTGAATTCAGGAAAATATTCAGGATTGATACATCTTGCTAATAGGCAAGTACCTCATCCACCAAAAGCTGTACCTGGCCAGGTCTTCCATGGGTTAGAAAAAGGAAATCCAAGGGGCAGAGGGAAAGGTAAACAGCTGCCCGGAAAGGGGTAACCTGTCAATCAAGACTCACACCTCTTTTCAGAAATAGCCTCATGGAGAGAAAAATAAAATAGGAAGAAGAAAATCGACTTTCCTTTCAAAATAGAAAAGGAAAATATTTTGATGAAATTAGCACAAGATTATATGTGCTGCGATGTGGAATGCTTAAATAAGAAACTAAACAGATGTTTTTTTAATCCACTAGCCATCAGGAATTTACTGTTTCAGTTGCAATAATGAGAAGTTCACAGATTTTTAATTTCCTTCTTAGGGAGTGACAGGAAAACTGGATGAGAATGCTCATGACTCCCCGATCATGACTTCCCATCTTCATGTTCTTCTTTTCTAGCTTCCCATCCAGTTGTTGGTTTTTTTTTTTTTAATTTTTTTTTTTTTAAGATTTTATTTATTTGCGAGAGAGAGAATGAGAGACAGAGAGCATGAGAGGGAGGAGGGTCAGAGGG